ATGGCACCGGCCACCGAGTTAACATTCATAATGCCTTTAAAGTTATTTATCACATTCCTTCTAACCTCACCCATGCTCTTTTACATACAGCAGAAGCCATAGGAATCCACCTAAACAAGCCAAGTCTGTGTGTTCAGAAGAAATCTGTACTGCCTCTTTCTTTGCCTTGGCCATCTGTATAGCTTATTTATTACAACAAGGCCCTTTATTTCATTCATCTCAAGATTGATTATAACCAATATTTCAATAGCTCTATTATTGTTATCATAATTATTATTATTGCAGATTTAGCCATCTTCTCCTCCCCCTACTGTCCCTAATTACCGTCAACAATTTACCACTTTACGTAATAGTTCATTCTCGCTATTTAGTTACCATTATACAAAATATCAGTTATGTAAGAAGCTGCCTAAAATTCCACAAAGTCTTTCTACTATAATTAATCTATGCTTTAGTTAATTGTCTTAATTACCTCAATAATTATCACCTCCTTGATACTTTCAGATTGATGATTATTATTATTTGTCCCTTATGTTCCTAGTGGAATATAGGACTTCAGTAGCATGTCACCATTTCACTCTGTTCTCTCCTGACTTCTGAACCTGGCTCCATAACTGCTTACTAGCACTCATTTCTTCCTCACACACCATCTCCTCCATGTCACTGTCGCCTTGGACGCCCAACTCGTCTTTCCCCGTGTAGGATCCACTCGACGACTTAGGCAGGCGCATGATGTCCCCAAATGATATTCTTAGTGTATGTATGTATGGAATTGTCCATATTTTTTTCTGGATTTCCATTAATACTGAGTAGATCATGGATAATTTGAAACTCTCCGTCAAAAATATCATGTAAACAGATGAATGTTTCCCCAAGGACCGAACATTTGACCACATTTCGTTTATATTGTAAGAGGATGAAACTCAAGAAGTGGATATATCGACCTGTTGACGCTAGTTTCCGATATACACTTCTTCTTACATTTTCATCTGCCTTCTTTGTCAATCGGACATCTAAGAAGGTGGCGCTGCAGTCATGTTCTGTCTCAATCAAGGTGAAGGTTATAGCTGGATGGACACTATTGAATTTATCCAGTATAATCCTTGCATCATTCTCGTTATTCACAATCAAGAATGTATCATCTACATTACGGCAGTAAAATTTTAACTGCTTATGATGCTTTCCAGAGGGCCATTTTCTAATTTCGCCAGGAAAAAATTTGCTAAGACTGGGCCTAGTGATGATCCCATAGAGACACCATCTGACTGTTTATACAATTCCTTGTTGAATAGAAAGTGCACATTCATTGTACATCGTAAGAGAAGCTATTTCAAGGTGGATGCCATAATTCCAATTTCTATGTTTCTTTTTTCCAGTTTGCTACATATGAAGTCTACTGTCTCCATCCAAGGGACATTTATGAATAGGGATGATACGTCTGGGGACATCATAGACTTATTATTCACATTCATATCTCTTATCTTATCAATAAAGTGAAAGGTATGTTTGACGCTGTGCTTTACAATCTTCTTATGCGATGGTTGCAAGAATTGAACTAGCCATTTCGCTGTCGCATGATACGGAGAGTTTGACATGTCAAGAATTGGTCGGAGTGGTAATCCGTTCTTATGAACTTTTGGTAAATCATACAACCTCGGTATTACTGTGCCAGTAGGTCTGAGTGTTTCATACACACTTTGTGAAATGAAGCCTTGCTGTTTCAGCTTCTTTAAGGGTTCAGATAATTGCCTCTCAGTTTTATCTGTCATGTCAGCATTGGCTGATAGTTTCTGAGATTTATTGTGATCACTAAGACTTCTGTTCATTTACGATCTTTAGTTACCATTACACAAAATATGAATTATGTAAGAACCTGTTAAAAATTTCACAAAATCTTTCCACTATAAGTAACCTATGCTTTAGTTAATTGTCTTAATTACCTCATTAATTATCACTTTCTTGATACTTTGAAGGATTTTCAACACTAATGTCAAGTCAGTGCTTCTATGTGGTTTAGAGACTTGGCGAGTTACGAAAGGCATTTCGAACAAACTACAGATATTCATCAACAACTGTCTACGCTGACTAGTTACTGAAGCTCAGATGGCCATAAAGAATAAGCAACAAGGAACTCTGGCCTGGCAAAGAAACAAACAAGAACCTTTTGGTAAACAAATATGCACTGGAAGGAAGTGGAGATGGCTTGAGCACGCACTAAGAAGACAATTTGGGTATATCATGCACCAGGTCAGGCTTTCGAGTGGGATCCAAAGGGGAAACGACGAATTGGGCGTTCGAGGCGAGGGTGACATGGAGGAGATGGTGTGTGAGGAAGAAATGAGAACTTGTGGACAGTCGTGCAGGCAGGTGCAGAAGACAGGAGAGAAGAGAGTGGAATGGAGGCGTGCTGCTGAAGCCTTATGTTCTAGTAGGAACCCAAAGAACAAACAATAATAATAATGATACTTTGAAATTGATAAACTTTCATTAAACAACTCTCACCACTAAGTTGGCATATGATTTCATGTTATGAAAATCTTACATATATTAGTGTAGAGCCATTGATGAGAAAATAATTGAAAAGAAATATTTCTTCGTTCACATTGTTTGTTTTATTAAATGTCTAAATGGGAGTATTTGTATTACATTCATATTATCTTGAACTCCAAGCTAATAATGGATAGCAAAGATAAGTGTGAACGCTTCCTCAACGGCATAACAATAACATTTATATCCATGTTATTATCATTTATTGACAATGTGATCTGACTCGTCACCGTTTACTGTTTAAACAATCGATGACTTACTTGTATAGATTGTATTCTGTGGAGAAGTGATTTCCACGAAGTGATTTAACATTGAAAATCTATTTCTCTAACTTCATTGAGTTGTTACAAAATATATTTCACTTATAACAAGACTGTTTTACTGAAATGAAGTTATAGGTGTTAAAAACAACAGTCAGATCAGCAGTTGACGGCTATTCTTCACTTCTATTCACTAGCTTGAATATCATTCTCCCTGAATCCAGGTGATTCTTGCATAACAATCTAATCTCTACTACTGCCTCACAACAATTTCTATGCTTATTATGTTACCAATGAAGAAATCATACAGGCTAATCAACTACGGCTAACAATCTTGGTGTTAGATGTTGGAGTTAATCAGTATGGATTTCTGTTCAATCTATGTGTTATGATTATTGGTTCGAATGAGAAAAGTGTACTTGCAAGTATGATTAAAAGGATGTTATTTCGGTTATCTGAATTTTATGTAACCCACTGATTAAGTGAATAATTTGACCAATATGCTTTCCAGGTTATGATTTTGCCCTAGTGGACTATGGCTGTGAGATATGGGCGTTAAAAATACAAGAATATGAAGTGGTAACTGTGCTTTGATCGTAGATGTCTTCGCAGCATTGTTCTCATTCAATGGAATCACCGTGTGTGTATGATGTTGATGTCAAACGTAGAACACTAGACAAGATGGGCAAGTTAATTGATAGGGTTGTGAACGTTCGTCATTTGGGATAGCTTGGGCATGTAGTGGGCATGCCGAATCACCTACCTACCTAGATACGCTGTGCTATGAAGAGTTGGATTAGATTCGTAGAGGTCTCAAAATGGCGAGCACAAAACGTATCATCATAAGATGAATTCCCTGACTGTTGGTCTTTTCTTTGTATACTGCTGTGAAGTATAACAACCTGAGCCGATGCATTTGTGTATGATGTCCTACGTTGACTTTATCTGTCAGTCTGTCTGTCAAATAGGACTGAATCATATACAAAACTGACTACCAGAGGATAATCAATGTAGCTATTTGGTATAGATTGTTTAGCTCCATTCAAAAATCGTTGCTTATTTTTAATAATCTCTATGTTTCGCTGTATCCTCAGACAAATCTGAATCTGCTGGTGGTTACCCTTTAGATTTGGGTTCAAAAAAGAAGGAAAAATAGACAATCTGATTACACAAGTATCTGAACCATACAGAAGCACTGACTTGACGTTGGCGTTGAAAATCTGGATCTTGTTCACGTTTTATGCTGAATGCAGAAGATCTCCATACTGGTTTCAGGATAATGAAAGCCTGTCTAGGAGATTCGCATTTCACCGATGATGATGTATGTCTAATGTCTTGTCACACAAACTCGATGTACAGGGGAAAACTAACAAGTTGACAGAAGAGGTAGGGCAGAGAACATGGGACTTCAAGTGAATGTAGAGAAGAGACGGGTGGTGAAGATACCCAACCAACAACAGCATAAACAACAAGCACCAATCATCATCATCATCATCATCATTGAGAGAAACCTAAAGGAACTAGTCTCATTCACTCACCTAGACATCATCGTTTCAAATGTAGGTGTTACAGATAAAGATGTCAAAACCAGCCAGGATTGGAAAAGCAAGATAGGCTTTCATTAAAATGAAATCAGTGTGGAGATCTACTGCACTCAGCACAAAGCGTAAATAAGAGCCGGACTCTCAACACCAATTCAGTCACGTCAGTGTTTCTGTTTGGCTCAGAAGGTTTGGCCTGGCTCATGATATCCCCCAATGGTACTTTCAGTGTGTGCTCAGTACAGTCCACCTCAAAGTTCTTCTACAAAATATTTGTTGGGCGATAGCTTCTAGTTGGTTAGTTCGTTGCGAGGCCAGAGTTTCCTGTCGCTTACTCTTATTATTCTGAGCATCTGATCTCCATCTTCGGTACAGAGTGAGCGTAGGCCGCCGCTGTTGATGAATGTCTGTAGTTTGTTAGAAATGCTTTTCGTGACACGCCAACTCTCCGAACCAAATAAATACACTGAATTGACTGGATTAGTGTTGGAAATCTCTATGCTGTTCACGTTTTATGCTGAGTGAAGAAGATCTGCACAATGATTTCAGATTTATGAATGCCTCTCTTACTGACATTCCGACCTCACCTTTGACACCCTCGTCTGTGACTGTGACGCTTGCAGTTCAAACGATGCTATCTAGATAGGTGTAGGTGAAACAGACCACTTCCTTTAGTCACCTCCTCTTCATGGTGATTCATGCTCATTGTTTGTGTTGTTGTTGTCGGTTGGGTATCTTCATCAACCGTCCCTCCTCTTCATTCACCTGAAGACAGTCACGTCCTCCATGCCCTACCTCTTCCATCAACTTCTTACTTACTCTCCACCTGTACATCTTCGAGTTTGTGTGACAACACATTAGACATAGATCATCATGTGCGAAATGCAAATCTCATAGAGTGTTTTCATCGGTTGAACAGCCAGTGTATCCCCATCTTCTCACAGCTCTTCACAGTTTCTTGCATGATCTGGTCTGCCACAATCAGGAAGATGATTGGTGATAGAAGGCGGCAACCTTGTCTTACCTGTCAACCTGTCTTCACTTCCCTACAAAGGCAACACTGAGCATTCCATTGTGAATCACTTGGCATGTAGCATCATCATCATCATCATATAGCATGTAGGTGGTGTTGACTAAGGTTGATAGTAGTTTGTGGTACTGTGGTACTATGGTATTGAGGCGACTGCCAAATTACTTTTCGATCGACGTTGTCGAAGTCCTTTTCAAAGTCGATGGAGTTGAGGTACAGCTACATTTGATTGTAATTCTATACTCTTTTCTATGATCATACAGATAAGCATTGTTAATTTTTATGCACTACTGATGTATTTCACTTGGGGTGGGCAGGAGCATATATTTGCGTATACAGTATTGTTACTAGTGTTAAGGTGAGAAAATCAATCCAATTAGAACATCATACAAAGTCGAGTTAACGGATCATTTTTATTTGCACCAGCAGACCCTAATTAAAGCGTTATGACACATATATAACTCTAACAGTTTGACTTTTCATATGCAAACCTTCTCGTGTCAATCTAGACATCATATCCAGTGCATTCCTAAAAGACAGTAATACCACAGCCTTCGAAATGTGTGTCGGTACGCATGACAATTAATGACCTGAATGAAAACGATATAACTGACTGATTGTTATTATTGCTTCAAATTGCCATACACTACGCAGTATATTACTGATTTAAATGCAAACATGGCAGAAAAAGGATATCACAAAGTGCACCGTTCAAAGTAGATTGAAAACACTTTGAAACCAAGGTAATAAATGTTAAGATAAAAAAGATGAAACGGGTGATTAGATAGTCGTTGCCATATGTTATGTTAACTTTTGCCAATTTTCACAAATAGAGAAAATAAAATAACTAAGAAGGGATCATAATAATTTTCTATTTTGAAGGACTACTGATATTATCTCCAACTATTGAACAGCATGATGTTATAGAGACCATTAAATGTATCTTGAGGTTAGAAAATATATTATTTTCAACGCCAGTGCTTTTTATCCCACGATATCACATCAAACACAGATCATCTCCCCTTTTCGTCGTACCAGTCTCAAGGATAATATCGACTGAACAGTAAGGAAACCATTGTAACTGCATTCATAATTTATGATCACTGCTTAGTTGTATTGTGTTCTCTTAGCTGAGTTCGTTAGTCATGAAGCTTTCATCAGTATGAAGTTAATGCTGAAGTTTTCATCTAGAAAAACGATGAAAGCTTCATGACTAAACAACCCAGCTCAGAGAAGACAATACAACCAAGACCATTCACCTTAGCTATAAATATTCTTCACCGCAAGATCAATGCACCGAAAATAGTGTTTGCAGATGAACGCTAATCTTGTATGGTATTAAATATACCCAGCCGGATCTTAGAATTAATTACGTGGTGTCACTAATGGGTGTGAATAATCCTATATGTTGTCAGCTGAGACAGGTAGGCAAGGTTATGTAGTCCTTTGCAATCAAGCCAGCGTCACTTTGGTAAAAATGATTGTTTAAATTAAGGTTCAGCCTTTGTGATTGCCTCTTCGTGAAGTCTTCATTCTACTTGGTATCTCAAGTGTCTATTTCTTGCTATAATACTGTTATTACTGCGATATTCTTTTCATTGCAAACCCTACAATCTTACACCAAAATACTGTAGACTTCATTGTCTTATAACTTCACTCACTGGTTACACTGCAAGAATTGATTGGTAGGCTTTGGTCAGTGCTAGACACATAGAAGTAGACAGCTAAATGAATTTTCCACGAGCGACCAGCCAGTATAAGTGATCCCGTCCTTCAGATGGTCATTCGTAGCCTAGATAGCTTAGTAGTTATATCTGTCACTTCATCGTTGAGAGATACAGGTTCAGGCCACTAAGTGAACACTAATTTCCTCACTTTTGCAGAAAGACCTTGCTGACAAGCGCCATTAGAGGTGAAACCCTGGTAGACCAGGTCTTCTCGATGTCTGACTCTCACCAGCTTATACTGGTTACAACAAATACTATCGCTTGGTAGGTTGTGGGGATTTTATTGACTTAAACGTGGTATTCATCACAAACTGGAAAACCACTGATAACCTGCAAATCAAATTCCAGTTCAGTCAAATGAGAATTCATGACCGATGAGGCATACGGAGTCGTATGTGAGAACAGTTACTCAGCGATGGGATTGAATGGAGTTAACGCTATATCAAGAACTGATGGAAACAGAAAATGTGAACCTCTGGATTCCAACCCAGTGGCCCAATCTTAACGTGGTGACAGCGGAACCTAAAAGTCCTGAGTGTGATCCTTGAAGGATGAGGTCAAGTGCTGATAGGATTCCAATGTTTCTTCAATTGATTTGAGTCCATGGTGAAAAGCAACATAAATAAATACTACTATAATGTGGTGGGACCTCGCCTGGTTAACTAGCTCACTGGTTACCAGTAGGTCCTAGGCTCGGGTAAAGAGGAAAGGTTGGGCATACGGCTAGCAACCCTACCCCGTAAAACCAATTCAACCGCTAAAGAAACTTCAAAGCACAAATGATATATAAAAAATAAAAACAAAATTATTCCTTGCTGGAATCGGGGAGACGAAATGATGCCGGTTGGTGAAAGCCTTCGGGAAGCTAACTGGCCGATGTGTCTTCTCTAGATGAAAGCAAAAGTAAACATGGGGACATGGGCCGTCCTCTAGCAAGGCTTCTCAGATTGCAAAAGAGATGAGAAGGTATAGCATAGAAGTGCTAGGAATTGGCGAAAGCAGATGGAATGGAAGTGTATTCTCCAAACTGCTAGATGGAGAGTCAATAATCCACTCCGATATTGTCCTCTAGACGACAACTACGAACACACTGAGTTTTGGAGTGCTATCATGATGTCTCCAAGAACATCGAAGACTCTCATTTAGTGGCAACCAATCTACTCCGGGATCTTAACAGCAAGATTTAACTCAAAAGGAAGGAAGGTCACAATCACACAATGCTGCACTACGCGCCTACAAGTAATGCATATCAAGAGAAGAAGGAGGAATTCTACAGACAACTGCAATCAACACTGGACAAGGCTTCGCTTGGTGACATCAAATTCATTCTAGTGGGTGGGGTGACATGAATGCTAAACTCAAAGAGCACAAAACAGGAAGAGAACTGATCATGGGTAGAGAAGCACTTGGTGAAATGAACCAGAATGAAGAATTGTTTCCAGAATTTTGTGCATTCAACGATTTGGTGATTGAAGGCACTGTGTTCAAGTACAAGGATACCCACAAAGCGACATGGATTTCACCAGAGACCAGGACAAACTAAAAATCAGATTGACTTCACCTTAATGTAAAGAAAGTAGAGATGTAGCCTACTAGACACAAGATCAATGAGGGGAGCAAATGGAGGTTCATACTACTCACCATCTAGTGCAAGGAACCTACCTTCAAAATCTAGTTGAAAGCCTTCAAAGAAGTGAGTGATAAATCACAATTCAAGTTGAACACCTAGAAGAGAAATTGAAGGACGAAACTACAAGAGAAATCTTCACGTCAGCCATCAAGACAAAATGGGAGATATCGAGGAACATCCCTGAAGAAACCTGTGTGGAAGAACACTGGAAGTCTTTGAAAGCTATGTGGAAATAAACCAGCATAACCGTATCAGGAAGGAAGAAGAAAGAGGATAAGGAATGGATCTCGACGGACAAATGGAAGCTGGTAGAGGAGAGGAGGATAGTGATACAGAAGATAAACCAGTGCAAAGATGAACGACGAGAAGAGGAACTGAGTACAACGTGTAAAACACTGGACAAAGAAGTGAAGGAGAGTGAGCCCGAAGTCAAAGGACACTTATGTAACACAGAGGCAAGTGAAGCAGAACAGGCTGCTGGTAGGAAAGACCTGACAACATTGTGTCAGATAACTAGGTTACTGTCTGGGAAGAGATCAACACAGATGAAATCAATAAAAGATGAAGAAGGAAACTTAATTATGAAAGAAGAGAAGCAAATGAAACAATGGGCTGACCACTTTGAAAAGCTCTTGAATCGACCACCACCTGCACTTCGTCCAGAAATACCACCAGCAGCCCAGCCACAGAACTACCAGTGAACACAAATCCTCCAAGGAAAGTCGAAGTCCTGAACGCCATAAGGTTACTGAAATGCGGGAAAGCAGCAGGAGCAGATGGAATCCCTCCAGAAGCACTGGGAGCAGATGTAGGGACAACAGCGGACCTACTCACACCACGATTGCAGAAGGTCTGGAAGAAAAGAAAGGTACCTGTCTACTGACTGAAAGTAAGGCTAACTTGTAAAACTCCCGAAGAAGAGTGACCTAAATCTGTGCAAGAATTGACGTGGAATCATACACCTGTCCAAACCAAGCAAAATAATAAGCCGCATCATCCTGGAGAGACTACAGGATGTGCTGGATTCGAAATGACGACGTGAAAGGGTTGAACTCAGGAAAAATAAATCATGTGCGGACCAAATTGCATCGTTTTGCATCAACATCATAGAACAGAGTACACAATGGCTGACAACTCTCTACCTCAACTTCATCGACTTTGAAAAGACCTTCATCAGCGTCGATGAAGAAGTAATTTGGCAGTTGCTGCAACACTGTTGAATGTCAAAAATTTTATCAAACTCATTCAACAACTATATGAAGAAGCCACATGCCAAGTAATTCACATTGCGAAGGTCAGTGATGTCCCCGAAGTGAAGATAAGTGTAACAAAAGGCTGTCTATTATCACCCATGATATTCCTGATTGTAGTCGACTGGATCATGCAACAGACAGTGAGGAGCGAGAAGAGGGGGATACGCTGGACCGTGGAAAAGAACCTAGAAGACTTCGATTTCGCCGACGACTTTTGTCTAATAAACGACGGTATAATACAAGCAATAACATTAAAACATTAAAAAGGTATCTATCTATGAATAGACCGGAATAAGTTACATTATACAAGCGGAAATAGGAAGAGTGATAGGAATATTATTGTTATTTCTCTCTTGGGTTCCTAGTGGAACATACAGCTTCAGTAGCACGTCTCCATTCCACTCTGTTCTCTCCTGTCTTCTGAACCTGACTCCAAGACTGCCCACAAGCTCTCATTTCTTCCTCACACCATCTCC